TGGTATCAGAGCAAGGTGAAAGATGGCATCAACAAATACATCACAATTCAAAGAGGGATATTCCACACAGCGACCACCTCTATTCGATGGCACGAACTACAACTATTGGAAGTGCCGAATGAAGATTTACCTTCAATCAATTGGCTACGAACTTTGGAACGTCGTGGAAACAAAATATGAGAAGCCAACAACTCCTTTTGCAGAATGGACTACTTCTCAAAGAAATAATGCAAATTTGGATTCAAAAGCAATGAATGCATTATTTTGTGCACTTGACAAGAATGAGTTCAATAGGGTGTCAACGGCCACATCTGCATACGATATTTGGCATACACTTGAGGTAACTCATGAAGGTACAAATAAAGTTAAAGAATCTAAAATATCTATTCTTGTGCACAGGTTTGAGTTATTCAAAATGAAAGAACAAATAGAGGAATCCACTCACATGTGCTTCATGGCACAAGAAGATGAGGTATGCAATAATGAAGAATTATTAGATGCTTTCAATGAATTATATGAAACATTTTTGAGATTAAAGGCTTCACATAATTTTCTTAAAGGTGAAAATAAAAGATTACTTGAAGAAATTTCTGATTTTAATTCTTCTACTATTTCTAATTCTCAAGTAATTGAATTGAAAGAGGAAAATAAATCCTTGCTTAAAGAAAATCATATTTTGACTAATGAGAATGTTTATCTAAAATCAGAATGCAATGATTTAAAAATCCGCATTAATGTTTTAGATAAAGATATTTCTTCTATTAAATTAAAATATGATGATATATGTTTGAATGTTAGTAAATTCAATAAAAGTAAAGAGAATTTGAATAATTTGCTCTCATTTCAAAAATCTTCAAACAATCATTTTGGCATTGGATTTGTTCCTAAGTATTTTATAAAGAATGATTATGTTTTGAAGAATAATAATAAGAATATTCATGCTAAACAAAATAAGTATATATGGATTCCTAAGAATTTGAATATTCATGATAGGAATTATTATATTTCATCTTATATTTATGAAGTTTGCAATTCAAAGAATTACACTTATGTTAACAAATGGAAACCAAATTCCAAGTGGATTTGGATTCCTAAGGGCTAATCCTAATGATATAAAATAAAAGGGTACCAATGTGCTTGATATTTTTATTAAGGTACCCAGGAAAAGAAAATTTTAATTAGAATTATGTTTATTTCTTTTTGCTAATGACAAATGGGGAGTTATATAGAAAATTTTAATTTTAAATTTTTTACTAATGCTTTGATGCAGGGGGAGTAAAAGATTTTATTTAATGATTTCATGCAGGGGGATTAAAATTTTTATATCTTAATAACATATATTTGTCATCATCAAAAAGGGGGAGAATGTTAGGAATCTTGACCCCAAGATTAGTTTGTTTTGATGATAACAAATATTATATGTTGTGTGTATTATGTGCTAACATTTGTTTTGCAGTATCAGAGCTATATCAACAATTATATTCAAAGAGATACTCAAGACATAGATGAGTTCAAGGCAAAATGAAGCAAAGAAGAAGATATACTTTATTGTCAAAATGTAATTTTATATTTTCTTTGCTTAGAAATTTGTACAAGCCTTGATCACTCACACACATGCACACACATAGTGTTAGAACACACTAACACATGCTTAGTGTGTTGGTTAACAATAGAAATCCCCTATGCAGATTTCAGGTTTTGAATAAGTGACTGTTTATAGCCGTTTTGTGGACGTTAATTGGGTTTAAAATTATGTCATTTCAGAGGCTATAAATAGGTTTAAACATCAAAAAACAAGCACTAAGTTTTGCACTTGCAAGATCAAACATTTTGTGCATATTCACTCTCTAATTTTCCAGATTTTCATGCTAAGTGTTTAGAAAAAGAGAGTTTCTGATATTGCCTTGGTTTCAATCATTCTTAGAGATTGTATAGACAATATTCAGAGAGTTAAAAGAATCCTAAGCCACTGCAGCACTTCACTACACATTCAAGGCTTATAGGATCAATTGTGTTCTTGCTTCAAAAAGGATTTCTCTCGGGTTTGAGAGGGTTGATCTCTTGGTTTAGAGATTGGGTGGCAATTGGCATGGTCTTGTCAATTGGTGTTGCAATTTGCAGGGACTTGCAAATTGGTCAGGTTTGCGTTTGATTTTGTAAGTTTATTCAAAATCATAGTGAAAACTCTCAAGCGGGATTTGCTTGGGGACTGGATGTACACCGGGTTGGTGGAACCAGTATAAAACTTTGTGTTTGTGATTGTGAATTTCTGAGATTGCCATTTTTCTTTGCAATTTATAATCTACTTTGCAATAATTTTAAAAGAACACTATTCACCTCTCTTCTAGTGTTCTAGTGTATCTATTTCAGATCCTACATTTCAATCATATTAACTTTGTTAGATCCATTTCCTTTAGGGGCAGGTTTGGCCGGTTCCTTCTTCCGAAAGAAACAGTTGTGAGCCATGTGGTTGGTTCTACCAAAGACAAAACAGAACTTCTCATCAGACTTATGGCTGGAAGAATTGGGATTTAATTTGAAGGAGGATTTGTTGAAAGATTTGTTGAAAGATTGTTGATTTTTCTTGAATTTCTTCCCTTTGGGTTTGAAATTCTTAGATTTAGGCTTATCCTCTACCAAGTTTACTTTAGCTTTTGTTTCATTCTTGGTGTTGGAATTTTACCTATGCTGGTCTTCAATACGAATAGCCTTGAAGGCTTCAGTTAAGGTTAGATCTCATTGCTTGTGTCGGAGATCTCCAGCAAATCTAGACCAGGAGGGAGGAAGTATATCAATCAAACAGGAAACTTTATAATCGTCAGTAAAAGTGTTTCCTTTTGATTGGAGATGACGGAGGAAATCTAGGAATTCATGAATTTGTTCATTAATGTGCTTGTCATCAACCATCATGAACTTATTAAAGGAGGAGGAGGTGAAACGCAGAATTCCGGCATCATCATAGCCATATTCTGCTTCAAGAGCATTCCATAGGTCTTTTACACTTTTGAACTCATAATATATGTTATAAAGGTTATCCGCAAGTGCACTAAGAATCCTATGATAACAATGATAGTTGATTTCTTCTGGTTTCATAGAGCTAGAAAAGGAGCTAGCACTAGAACCAGAAGTGGAAGGAGCAGGTTGAGCAGGATCAGGAGTCAAAGGTTGAGAACCACTAGTAGATGACTCAGAAGTGTCAATAGCAGATAAAAGACCAAAGGTAGTGAGCCAGTATTTCATCTGATTAGCCCACCGTTTATAGTTAACACCGGTGAACTTCTCAGGTTTGACACTTTTTGAATGATCAGGAATTGTCATAAGTCCAATTCAAGTTTACTAGTCTAGGTAGATGTAATCTGATCAAATAAAGGATTTTGTCAATACTACTAGACCAGAAACTTAATTAAACCTGCTCTTAACCAAAAACTCTAAAAGTGAAAAGATTAAAGTTTTACTCGGGTAGTTTGGCCAGGTAAGGATAGTACTAGAGGTTGATCAAAGATCTATTAAGTACCTCGTTTCTTACAGAGCGCTTTACGCAACCCTTAAACCTTGTCTTAGACACCAACTAATCCAAGAAAACTTGAACCGGTTCACTTAAAGATTTTTTGTTTCTTTACTATATATATATGAAAAGTGACAGATGCAGAAATTGAGTACAGAAGCAGCAAAGAAATAATTTTTTTTAACTAATTTAGTTGCAACAAATTAGAACAATTAACTAATACAACAAGTAATTACAATGAAGATTCTGATAAACAGTAATCCCGATGAACAGTAATTTTTTTTATTTTTTTAGATTTCTTAATTTTTTAATTTTTTTTAAATTTAAATTAACAGCAAGAAATTTTAATTAATCTTCTAGATTGCTGTTAAAATAGGAATATAATAATATAAAAAACAAATTAAAGAGTTAGAAAATTCAGGTCTGATCGGAAGCAGTCGTGATGTCACTGCCCTAGAAGATTAAGGACCCGCCTATCGTCCTGACGCAATTTGTCCCCTCTCCCCTAGCGGTAAAAACCCCCGGAATCGGCCGGCCTCTGCACTCGGGCGTGAGTCACAGAACTTATGCTCAGACAAAAATGGTTGCCCAAAAATAGAAATATAAATATGTAGCCAAAATTTCTTGGAGAAATGAGAGTAGAGAAAGAAAAGAGCTTAGAAGTTCTTCTCTTCGTTGGTGTGCTTCTGAATGAGCTCCAAGCCTGCTTATATAGGTGAGTAGAAGTGTAACCCCCGCAGAATCCAAGGGACCGTTACGCACAAATCTTGCTTCCGTTACCCGCATGCAGCCATTACAGAACGTGTAAAACGTGCAAAAATAAAAGCTTGAGAAGCAAAAATGTGTGCGGTGAGGCGTGGCGCGAGCGTGGTGGCGAGGCGAGGCGTGGCGTGGCGTGCGTGTGCGTGTGTGGTAGATATGCAAAGCCCACAAAACCCAAAACACTATTCAAAGCCCAATAAGGAGAGAACCATTATATACCCTATACTATTCATCTCATTTTTCAATGTGGGACTATTCACAAAGGCAAAATTGCCTTTTCATGAACAAAGCATCCAACAATATATACTTTCTTCAAAAGAGATAAGAAGAAGAAAACCAATAAATATTTTTAGCTCTTCATGCATCAATGGTCATAACACATGCCAAACATAATACAGAGAATGGATACCAACCTGTTTAACTGAGATCTACTAAACTAGGTAAGCGAATTTCAGAGATAAATTATCAACTTTTTATGAAAGAATCCTCAACCATCAACAATGTTTTACTTGAAGCTACTAACTCACATGAGGAATCAATGGGTCACATTATTATGATTTTCCTATGGTCATAATAAAACAGATCAAACTCTCATTAACATAAAAAAAACCTGACACAATCTCAAGGAGTAAATACTGCATTAATCTCACATTGAAAACCAAAATGAGCAGCAGAAAAGAAACAGAAATGAATGCCTCAAGAATTGGGATGGTTGATAGTTTGGTCAACTCACATTAAAAACCAAAATGAGAGATTGCGTCCTTATCATCAAAAATCTTCATCGGAATCATCATCTAAGCTGATTTTAAAGTCAGAGATGTGTTGAATATGGGACCAATCAGCACCTTCGTTCTCCCGGCACCGCTCCTTCAACAACTTGTTGCAGTTTGAGATCCACAGCTTTTGCAGAGACGAAGGCAGCTGTGGCAATGACTGAAGCTTATAAGCTCCCATAAGTTGTACACACTTGAGGGAAGAGGGAGTTTGGAGGCTACAAGGCAACAGCATAGCAATATTATCCAGCTGGAGTTCTCGCAGGAAAGTTTTGTTCTGAAACAGCCATGACTCTGTGGGAGCAGCCTCCAGATAACTACAATCTTGTACCGAATCGCTAATCAATTATGATGACAGGAATGTGTTGGATGTTGGGCCAATCAGCACCTTCATTCTCCCGGCATCGCTCCTTCAGTGCCTCGTTGCAGCCCCTGATCATCAGCGTTCGCAGGGACAAAGGAAGTTGTGGCAGTGATTGAAGCTCATAAACTCCAACAAGTTCCAAATACTCGAGGGAAGAGAGAGTTCGGAGGCTAGAAGGCAAGCACTTTGCTTTACCCCGCAGCTCGAGACGTCGCAGTGAAGTTGAATTCTGCAACAACCATGACTCCGCAAGAGCAGCCTCCAGATGACTACAATCTTCTATTGCTAGCCGCCTGACAGATGTGAGTTTTCTCAATGGCTCTATGTGGAGCAGGAACGGGTCATCGATTTCAAGATGTTCAACAGTAGATGTGAACCCCTGCTCCTCTTTCCGTTTGATTATTGATGCTGGTGTTGCAGCTGCTTGCACAAGCTTGGGACACTCGCGGATACTTAGCCAGTAGAGGTGGGGAAGAGCCTTTAGACGCCCAATTGATGCCAGCTCACCACACCCTGCCAGTTCCAACTCCCTCAGTGAAGTAAATCTTCTATACTCCACTTCGGAGGGAAAGGCGGTTATGTGGTTAGCTCCACCTAATAGAAGGATTGAAAGAGAAGTGAGGGAACCTTGCATTAATAACGCAGGAGTGAGACCGTCCGGTCCACCACGATCAACAAGCCTCAGCTTAGGGCAATAATCAATCTCCAAAACCCTGAGAGATGTAAGATGATGTCGGAACAAGCCAGCCACGGATGTCAGCTCTCCACACCATCTAATTCTCAATTCAGAGAGGGAGGGAGAGGACGTGCATGTAAGAAAGCCAGTACCGCAGCCGCTACCACCGCAGTTGCTGCCCACCCAGAACGCTGGAGAATCAGACAATCCCACAACTTCCAACTCCAATTTTCGGAGACCGAGGGGCAGAGGGGGCAGCGCCTTCAGTTTGCGACAATTCTTAATAACAAGTTCTTTGAGGAGAGGACACCAGGGTACTGCCTCTGCTTCTAATCCACACCACTCTTCCCATTGCTCACAGTCAGATATATCTAAATGCTTCATTTGTTGAAAGCCACCTTCGCAATTAATTTGCTGAAGAGCTGGCAGCCCCCTCAATGTCAAATGCGTGAGGTATGGGAGCTTCCCGAGGGAAGGAAGGTGCTTCCATGCCCTGCTAAATTTAAGTTTTATGTACTCCAGATTTTTTAATAATTCTGGTTCCATCCAACATGGAGACCTGGCACCTTGGTATCCCTTGATTGTTAGTTCCCTGAGGCTATCATGTGGTTGCAGGCGATCAAGCATCTGTTCATACTCATCCGCCACATCACTATCATCAGACCAAACCATCTCTAACTTGAGGAGGTTCCTTTTACGATGCAACTCGATCGTACTGACTTCCTTGTGATGTTTGTGACTCTCAAGGCCACCGATCTTCAGTCCCCGCAAATCTCTCATCTCCTTCAATTCGCTCAATTTATAAACTCCAGCAGCGAACGAAAAACGTTGAAGTGAAGTTAATGTCCCTAACCCCTCGATTTTTTCATAGTAAACTTGACATGGTATCAGGTGTCTCAAACTAATGAGATTATTCAAGCCAAGAACAGGACCAGTAGAATATCTAATACGCGGCCAAAAAAAGTTAAGGACCTGCAGGTGGTAAAGCGTACAGAATGAACTTGGTAACCGAGAAATAACATGACTAGTCGACAAATATCTAATATGCCTCATGTTACCAACTGCATCCGGCAATACCTTCATGCGCTTAACATCTAGGCGCAGCACCCGAATGCTTTCCAGTAATTTAAACGCTTCTTCAAAAGCCTTAGCATGCTCATTAACATATCCTCTGAAGACTAACACAAGTGTGCGAAGATTCTTCCATTTGCCTACATCTTTAAGAAGGTCAAGTTTGTCGGTTTCAAAATACAGATGACGTACTGTATTCGGGATCTGGTCAATTGACATGTCTCCAACAAATCTAAAGCATTCATCATGAGATACTTTACGTGCTAGATCATGCAAAAGATCATGCATGTTGTAGAAAGTTCTGTCTTGAGGTTGTTCGAGAAATGATAGTTTCACTAAATCATCCAAGTAGCCCCTTCCAGTGTCCTCCAGTGTCTCGTTTGGATATTGGGAAGATTTTTGAATGAGGCCAAGAGCCATCCACATGAAGACTAGATCATCTTTCTTGAACCTATAATCTTGAGGAAAGATGCTGCAATAAGCAAAACATGGTCTTAAGTGCATTGGTAAATGATGATAGCTTAGCATCAAAACCGCCATCACACCATCCCTCTGCTGTGCTTGATCGGATATATTGTTTGCTTGCAAAACTCTGGTCCAATGATTATCATCCAACTTAGAATTCAATAGCGCTCCAATCGTCTTTGCAGCCAATGGTAAGCCCCCAAGCCTTCTTGCTATTTTCTTGCTAATGGATTCCAGCTTCCTATAATCACAAGAGTCTACACCAGCAAATGCATATTGGTTGAAAAGTGATAGGAAGTTGTCATCATCTAAATGTTTCAATATCATTGGCTCATTTATTGACCCCCCCAAAGCCGATGCAGCCATTTTTGCAACTGTCACAATTCTAGTAGTTAACAAGATTTTGCTTCCTTTATGGCCACTCCTCAAAGGAGCAAACAATTTATCCCACTCAGAACGATTGTCATCATTCCATGCGTCATCCAAGACAAGGAGAAATTTCCCAGACGATACCAGTTTCTTAAGAGCTTCTTGCAGAGCGCCAAGTCCCCTGACTTCAGGTCTACTTTCTGTAGCGTATTCTATCAAATCTGCCATGACCTTTTTGGCATTGAAAGGAGTGGAGATACATGCCCAGATTTTGTGATCAAAGGAATTAGTTACATTCTCGTCATTATAGACGAGTTGTGCGAGGGTGCTTTTGCCCACTCCTCCATGGCCAATAATGGAGAAAAGAGATACATTGGTACTACCCTCATCCTCTTCTGCGACAGGCTTTCTCAACCACGCTAACAGTTCCTCCCTCTCTTCATCTCGTCCAAACACTTTTCTCTCAGTTAGAGCTGGTCCAGTTTCACGATAAGCCATGCTCTGAGCTCGATGTTGTTGATGCAGTTGTTTGGATTCTTGTAGTGTAGAGATGAAATTTCCCACGCCCGTTGCGACTTCATCTAGCCTTTTCACAGACCCCCTCAGTTTCTCGAGGGTGGGATCAGATTTGAAGGCTCTTTTACCAACTTTTACAACTTTCCGTTTGGAGTCGGAGAGAAAATCACGCACTTTACCCCTGCCTGCTAGCGCAATTGGTAGAGAAGTTCATTTTATTTTATTGATTAAATTCGAAAAACAATCAATTATTTTTTAGCATCTGATTGCTAACCTTCAGTTGTGAAATAAAAAACTGATAACAAGAAGGCGAATTTTTTTTTTTTTTGACATTTAAAAAGCCATGACTTACCACTATGAGCATGTTCTTTGCTGCCTGAGGATTTCTCCTGGACTTGTTTCTGTAGCTTAAGGTAATCAAGCTCATCAAGAACGTCGTCAGCCTCGTAAACAGCATCTTTGAGCTGCCACAACCATTTCTTGAGTGCTCCAGTAATTTCTTGCTGCCCGCTCTCTGCCATCTCCACAACAGCTTGGATACGAGGAAGAGCATCGTTGAGCCTTCCAAGCTCAACTCTCATCCTAGCATCCCGAGCAAAATACCGATCTGCTGCATAATCGAGCCCGACCTCCACCAACTTCTCGATGATCTTGGTCACAATCACGTCTCCGACCACCACCATGTTTTTATGAGTAGTTGCAGAGAACTCCTTAGTTCTCCTGCATTACTTAAGAAATGGGGGACTTACATATATCCACACTCCGAATAATTACGATAAACCCCACTCCGCCCCCACATCAAGTTGCGGTTTGCAGGCGAAATTGAGAGGATGAGTATCAGCCACTTCGCAAGGTTGAAGTCTATTAAGTCAACAAGTCAATAATAAAGATCAATAGGAAACGTTGAGTGCGTACAAAGGCCACAAAACACGCCATGTGATGTGGGAACCCAAAAATTGAATAATAAGAGAACAAAATGGTGGGGGCTTGGAAACCAATTATTGATCTTTGCTTGGATTCCTTGCCTTTAAAATTTTCAAACTTGATGATGAGGGCTCGTTATGAGCCGTGTGACTGTGTACAATTGTATATATGAGTCGTAATTCCAACTAAAGCATAGTTTTGATAGTTGCTCTTCCTGTTTACAAACCTGACAAGGTATTGATTAAAACAAGGTAAATCGAAACAGCCTACAAAGTTTATCGTTCAAATTGGAGAATGTTGAATTAACGCTGAAATTATTTTTTTTATTTCCAAATTGTTTAAATACCAGTTTAACGGTCCTTATTATGATCATATCATAATTTACTAAAAACCTAGGGTAAAAAAAACATAGAATAAAAAGCAGACAGGTATTTCCTTTTGCCATAAAAGCAGACCCGCCTGCAATGTGAGAGCCAAGAAAGTCATTGATAAGAAAGAAAAAGTGTTTGGTGTATTAGGACTAGCTAACCAATTATTAATAATCTTGTTTAAAATTCTTAGCTTTAGAATTTTCAAAACTGATGATGACAAGGATTCATTTGTACTCAGCTGCAGCTACATGCGCATTGGTAATTTCATTATTTAAGATTGAGAAAGGAGAATCCTTTGAACAGACCGGCACGCCAGAAGACCACGCATGATAAGCAATCACTTCTTATTTTATAATTCATTTAAAAAAAAAATTAAATGCCGTTTCCTGACCGCGTATGCTATGACAAGGGGTTCATTTGTACTCATCTGCAACTGCTTCCACGTCGGTAATTTCGTTATACTTGCAAGCTCTGAATTCCCCCTTGGCATTCTCATACGGGCACATTATGGAACAATTTAAGTGCAATTGCAACAAAGAGACAAATTACCCATCACCTTGAGGGCGTGTGAGGTCGTCAAACTCGACTTGGCTGAGCCGGTACAACTTTGTGACGGAAACTCTCGGATATGACATTTTTGCCGAACAGTTGTTCTCCTTTGAAGTAATTTTGATACTAAATGATTTTTGTCAGGCACAAAAACACGCCTCTTTTAATCCCTAAATCGATTGGCATCAAACTTGAGGGAACCAAACTATGGTGTATGGGCGTTCACCCTCAAGTTTCACCTCTTGAGCAGAGGTCTTTGGAGACATGTCAATGGATCTTCTGCGCCTCCTCTGACAAAACTACAGGCATCTACGAACAAAGCTCACCCTTCTAAATCAATCAGTTACACCGACCATTCGGTTACAATTTGTCAATTACACTTCTGCCAATTCTCTCTGGACACATCTTCAAGGTTTCTACACCGAACAGGATGATGCTCATGAATACCGTCTGCTGCAAGATGTCTCTTTTGGCAGGACAAGGTGAAAGATCCATTCATAATTTTTATACTTATATGATTGACATTTGGCAACAACTTGCAACTCTTGATCCTAATATAATCAATCTAGAATCAATCAAAAGTTTGACTTTATATCGGGACCGACAACATTCATTTCAATGTCTCATGCAACTTCGTCCTGAATATAAATCTCTCCATGGGTTCATAGTGCACCACGTCCTACTCTAGATAATGTTGTTGCAGAGCTTCTTCCTGAATAGACGAGACTTCGCTCATTATTTTAAAAGTTTTGGGTATTATTTGAGAATTTCTGGAGCTTTAAGGGGTTTGTCTGGAAAAGATTTGGGATTTTAGTGGGGGAAAAAAGTTCAGTGGTCTTTGTGGCAAACGGAATATGAAAAGTATGTTGTTCTGTATGGTGTGATATATGAGATATTAATTTGATCTGGAGGTGTTGAAATCCAGGGGTCCTTCTTTAGTCTGAATTTGCAAGAGCAATATGAAATAAGATTTTGGGTGACTGTGGGCATGCTCTTGTGTTTCCCCACTCTCTAATAGAAGCAATGCGTTTATGTTTAATGGCTTTATTTGTTGTTGTTATCTGATTCATATGAATTGAACAGAATGATATAATTTTTAATGGAAGATATCCAATCCACAGACCATTATTAATAAAGTTTGGGGAATTTGCAACGTCCACATGCTTCTTAAAATATTATGCATGATATAAAGAACACATACCTTGAAGCTATAGGGAATCAATTTACGTGAGATCAGAGGTAACTGGTTCTTGTTTGAAAGACTGACACTAACAAAATATTGTCTACCACATAATGAACGCATACCTTGAAGCTAACCGGAATCAATTTCTGCAAGATCAGAAGTAATCTGTTCATGTTTTAAAGACTAAAACCAAAATGTAACCTCAATTTTACTTTATAAATTAAGTCACAGCCCTGTAATTTATATAGTCATGCCTTTAAGATTTCTAATTTGGCAGAGTTCGGAAATCTCATCAGTCATAGTTTGACACCATAATACTGCTTTTGTTGTCAACTTGTTAACAATCTGCCTTGAACCTGCACTCTAATACTCAGTAGGAAGCACATTACCAATAATCGATGTTCCCTTTTATATTTAGATCATAAATCTCATCATAATTTCCATATCACTATAAAATTAGACTGAACATTCCATGGTTAAAGGCTCAGCTTGATAAGAGAAGGAAATTCTTCTATGAATAAATTGATATTTATTGTCATCAATTTGAATATACATACTTGCATGTTCACGTGTTCCCTTAGCAAGTCATCCTCTTCTGAAGCCCATGTACCGTCACCCATTACAAATGTTCTGTGCTGAATCAATAGCTTTCTGCAAAACTGCTGAATCTCTAATATAGCACAAGTTTTCAAATAAATTCTTTAATGCAGGTACAAGAGTTAGGTAACTGGTTCTCAACCTACCATTCAAGTGACGAACCACTGCGAATAGGCGAAGAATCTAAATATAGTGGCTCACTAGTGATCTTGTACTGTTCCAATTCTGATAGAAGAATTAGCTCCCCGTAAGGAGAGAAAGAGCACTATGATTTAGAAAATGATGGGCTATTGTTAACCATGATCAAGGTTATCAATAGCGGATAGCGTCGCGTAGCGGTGAGGCATCGCTAAGGCTATTTCGGGCTATTGCGGCAAAATAGCGGTAAAAAACGCAAAGTCAAATAGCGGTCTAATTTAGATATGTATAAATACTAAAAAAATTAAAGAAAAATCTAAATCTAAAAGTACATATTGGATGATTTAAAGAGATCCTAAACATGAAATAGACATGTAACCATCACGTAATACCGAAGATGACTGGAGGAGTCAAAAAGTCGTCGTCTTCGAGAAGAAGAGCTTAGTGATGATAGGATTGCCCTAAGAGGAGCTCACGGTGAAGGAGGTGAGAGGAAATATCAATGTATGTGCCAGAGGCTATAAGAGGTAATGGGAGTATGCTGAAAATCACAGAAGACGGTGAAATACAATGGTCAAGGGTTGAGTTAATTTTAAAAAAATAAACCTCAAACCGCTTTTAAATAGCAGTCAAAAAATAAATTTCGAATGCAATCGCTCACTATTTACCGTTATGACACACTATTGGCTTCTTTTGCGAACAGACATATTCCGCAATATGTCACCGCTATTACGCGATAGCGTAGCGGGCGATAGCGTCGCGGGAAGGGCCCGCTAACGCTATTAGCGCCGCTATTGCAGGGCTATTTATAGCTATTTATAACAGTGACTATGATTGTAAAATATCAATAAAAAGTGACCAAGAAAGCCACCGAATTAGGCATCAACTGCACCAGCAATATTCAGAATGCTCAGAATATCCACCAAAGGAAAGGATACAGTGTCAGACGAAGGCCAAATCTGTTTAGGGGTGATAGTGAGTGAAAAGTTTAATGCACATCATTCTGGAGACATACTAATAGATACTTTCTTCAGAAGAGATAAGAAGAAAACCGATAAATATTTTTAGCACTTGCATGCATCAATGGTTATAAGTCATGCCAAACATAATGCAGAGAATGGATACCAACCTGTTTGACTGAGATCTACTAAACTAGGTAAGTGAATTTCAGAGATAAAATATCGACTTTTTATGAAAGAGCCCTCAACCATCAGCAATGTTTAAACTTGAAACTCGCATGAAGAATCAATTGGTCACATTATTATGATTTGCCCATAATCATTATAAAACAGATCAAACTCTCATTAACATAAAAAAAAACTGACCCAATCTCAAGGAGCAAATACTGCATCGATCTCAAGGAGCAACAGAAAAGAATGCATCAAGAATCGGGATGGTTGATAGCATGGTTAACTCACATTAAAAACCAAAATTGAGAGATTGTGCCCTTATCAAAAAAATATTCATCGGAATCATATCTAAGGAGATTTTAAAGTCAGAGATGTGTTGAATATGGTACCAATCAGCACCATCGTTCTCCTGGCACCGCTCCTTCAACATCTCGTTGCAGTTTGAGATCCACAGCTTTTGCAGAGATGAAGCCGGCTGTGGCAATGACCGAAGCTCATAAGCTCCCGTAAGTCGTACACGCTTGAGGGAAGAGAGAGTTTGGAGGCTAGAAGGCAACAACTTCGCAATATTATCCAGCTGGAGCTCTTGAAGGAAAGCTTTGTTATTGTTAGTTTTTTTTTATACAGTGCAAAGGTTGTGAGAAACACCCTGATTTTGAGACTTCTAAAAGCATTATTTTATTGATCATTAAAACACTTATTTATACAACTTATTTAAAACTGAAAAAGCATAAAAAATGCAGCCAAATCTGCTGCAGTTACATAACAGAAATTCAAAAAAATATCTGAAGACTAGATCAAGCCTAACAGAACTTTGACAACTTCAAATCCTTGTCAGCAGCTCCTGAGACATGTCATTCAACACTCCTCTTTGTCTTTGGAGCTGCAAACTCCAAGCCTTTGCCTTAAGAACTCATACCTGGCTTTGGAAAGTGCCTTGGTCAGGATGTCAGCATTTTGATTTTCTGTTTTGTAGTAGACTATTTGTATTTCTCCTTCATTTTGTACCTCTCTTAGGAAGTAGAGCTTCAACTTGAAGTGTTTTGTTTTGCCATGAAACACTGGATTATTTGCAATTGAAATTGCAGCTTGGTTGTCTACAAATATTTGTGTGCTTTCCTTTTGCTCCATGTGCAGGTCTGCCATTAATTTTCTAATCCAAAGAGCTTGATTCACAGCAGCAGTAGCAGCTACATATTCTGCTTCTGCTACGGATTGAGCTATGATTTCTTGCTTCTTAGAACACCATGAGAAAATAGCAGAACCAAAGTTAAAACAATAACCTAAAGTACTTCTTATGTCATCAATACAACCAGCCCAATCACTATCTGAATAAC